TCTCTCTCTTAGTCATTTAAATATATTAAACGCTACTCAATTAAACCAAAATAAACTTCTTTCTCTTATTATGTTTTCTTGATTCCATCGACTAGAACTCTGAGGTCACATTCTCATTCATATATTAAACTCAACATGAGAAATCCCAAAGATGGAACGCCTTGCTTCCTTTGTTGGGTGTTTCGCCTCGTTTGACTCATCTTCAAAATATCTGGATAAAGCATCACATACGCTGTTCAATCTTCCTGGGCGGTATACGATGTCCAGATCGTATTCTTGCAATACCATTTGATACTTTGCTAGTCTTCCTATGAAGTCCTTCCTTTTCATCAGACTTGTCAGCGGTCTGTGGTCCGTTAACGCTTTTACTGACGATCGATTTGATCCGATCAATCTAGCATCAAACACCATGAATAATAGATACCATAAAAAAGCTACATGATAAAAAAGAAGCAAACAGGATGAAAATCATCAAATCATTCCGCGAAGAAATACTACTAGGAGCCCATCTGGAAATAAACAAGACGGTGGAAGCCATTGAGAGACGTTACACGTGGTCAGCGATCCAGGATGATGTAACACACTACAGCAACAGATGTTTAAAGTGTGCACGGAGTGAGACGGATCCTCATCAAGCAACTGTTGAGCCGTTAAGAAAGTTCCTGACAGCTGTCCAGCCGTGTGAAAGAGCGTACACAGACATTTTAAGACCTCTCCCACTCACAAGTAGGGGCCTCCGTGGCCAAGTCGGAAAGGGTACCCCTGGAACATGTATAGGTCAAAAAAGAATCGTCAGTTCTTCCTGTGGTACACTGTTTGGTTCCACCACTGTGAGCTGTTCACTGGATCAACCTGACAATACATCTGTAATTAAGGTGTTATCCTTTGAAATAAATGAAAATCAAATTATAACGATGTCTGACGGTTTGAAGACAGTTCATATACATGAAAATGATTTTCGGAGTTGTTATTCTCTGTTACGATTTTTTTTTCATCTTTTCTTATTATTTTTACTTTGAGGCTATCCCGCTCTTGAGGATTTCCCGATTTTGAACCCATATGAAGAAAAAACAAGAAAGTTAGATCCGTAAGGTCTGAGTGAGGAGAAGAGGACAACACAACACACACGCTTTCGCCGTCTGGATATTGCTCGCGTTCTCTTCTATTATTGAATGACTTCTTTGTCTCCAGTCTCCAAAAAAACCTACCAAGTCTAACAAATTTGGACTTCAAAGAACTCAATGTTTCAAAAATAAAACATTCCCGGGAGGTCTTTATGAGAAGGAGTTTTATTATTTTGACTCTTTTTATTTAGATGCCCTATTGGAAATTTGGAAGTACTTGAAAAAATGAAAAGATAGAAAAAAACAAACTTCTATAAACGAAAGAAAATCACAGAGAAAACTAAGAATAACCCATACGAAAATTTTTGTTGGTTTTTTCGTTAGTTAATGACAAGAATAATCTACCTTAAAAACGACTGATTTCTAAATATTAAATCTTTGATGAATAAATTATGATTTCATGGGGTTTGTTTGAAATCACATAATCATTCATCATCAAGAAAAATCATCCTTGCTGGATAAGCATACAAAAAACTTCAATTTGTTTGCTTTGAGATGGAGAAGTTGTACTGACATTCATATTGGCATAATTTCACTTCTCCTTCTCTCTTCAAAGAATCAAAATGTTTTTCTTTTTGTTCAATTATATGAAATCAAAGGGTCGGATCAACTGAAGTTTGGAGATATATAAAGACCATGTTGGATGTGTAAAAATTAGAAAAGGATGAGAAACATTCCGAGAATTGATACGAAGTGGAATGGTTTATTAAAAACTTGTAGAAGTAAGTCTAATAGTTATATGTTGAATTATCGAAAATCACCAGTCGATTATTGGAAATCAGATTTCGATAACGTCACACTCAGTTTCTCTTTCATGAAAACATATTGTCGATATTCTAAATTAACCGCATCAAACATTCGTTTGGAAGCTAGAAATATAGATTTGTTTCTATCCTCCAAATACACAACGTGTTTAATCCCAGACTAAAACGATTGGCAAATATCACAAATTCGGTTATCAGTCACGTACCTGGATGATTAGCTTTGCGCATTCATTACATGGAAACAAAGTTGTGTAGATTGTCGTCCCCTAGAACGGAACAAAACATGAAGTATAATGATAGCGAAACCTTCAAATCTCCTTTTATTTTGTTTAATATTGCATTCGCTTCAGCATGAACAACGTATGCGTATTTATCGTCTAAGATATTTTCATTCCCTTTTCCCCAAGGAAAGTCATCGTCGCTGCAGCCAACAGGGAAACCTAATAGAAATTCTCGTCATTTAATATACCTTCGAAAAATCACCATTATATCCAGTTCCGACAATATGCTTATTTTCATCTACAATCACACATCCAACCTGGCAGTTTGGATCTTTACTTCTCAATGAAGTTACTTTTGCTGTCAACATGAAGTATTCTTCCCATTCTATATATTCTTTACTCTTCTTCGCTTAAACTAAGAAAGTATGAAGATTGAGCCTATGATTACCATTTCTCTCATCAGCTTGTGTGTTTTCATTAATCGCCAACTTGTCGATACAGCTTTCTATAGATGGCATTAGATTAGACATAGCTGAAAGTTATTTAGCTTAAGGCCTCATGAAGGTGCACTGAGCAAAAGAAGTAAAAGACCTTCTCACAATCAAATAATTAACAAGTCCTTACAAGATGACCGGAAACAAAAAAAATAAAAAATAGACCAGTCTAACTTGTTATCACTAGTGAAGTCACTAACACTGAATCATCGAATAATGAGAAGGATAGATCGGAAAACTGTCTCCAACAGAGTGGGTGGACAGTAATAAATTAAGTTAACTTTAGAACTTCCAAACTGTCCGATTCACTAGTGATAACGAGTTAGACCAAATTAAGCAAAGAGAGCAAACTAAATTCATCATTATATGATATAAAACCAATCGTCTCCAGGTAAAAGTAAGATCGCAGAAAACCGCAACCCACAAAATTTACAAAAATAAGAAAAGGTAAAAAACTAAAATGTACAAGAGAAATTATCGACCCATTGCAGCAGATCAAAGGTTACAGGATACTGAAACAATAGAATTGAGTAATAAATTGAAAATCGGGTTGCGGGAAGACACCGCATCATAACGAGAAATAAAATTAACACCCGAAACAAGACAGTGAAAACATTGAGAGATGGAAACCAAAAATTGAGAAATGATGTCTATCAAGAGGTAGGAGGTTGTTTCGCTTTAGAACTTATTAAACTGTAGGACGCCGTTTTATCGTTGTTGACCTGCTTTTTTTCGTGCCATACCCATTGGCATTCAAAATGTCAACCAGGTTATATGATTTTATAATTATTTCTCTATGCCAAACTGACACATACGGTTGGGATATTTGTTCTGAGAATTTTGAAGTTTGTATTTTTCTATCTTTGCAATTTTTCGAATACTTTCAAAGTTCTAATAGGGCATCTAAATCAAAAAAGTCAAAGTATTTCAACTCCTTTTTTTTTGAAGTACAGACACAATGAGTTCCACTCTCTGAAGTAGAGTACAAAATTACAATTCCTACTTCCTCTACTTTCGGCTTTGTTGTCATAGTGTCATTCTTAGTTTACTCTGTGATATTCTTTCGTTTATCGAAACATCCTCATTGACCTCATCACTAACCTTTAACGACCATACGCGCGCTAACGCTTGGGTCGTGCCATCATTAGGTCAGCCTACAACGGCGTCATATCGGTATCAAGAGCAGCGTGAGTATGTTGGCACTCATTTTTCATTTCATCGTTTTATAAACTCTTTTTACTCGATTCACTCCAATTTTCACCCAAATTTGAGAGAAAAACATGTTTTTAACTTCTTATTTACTGTTCTAGATGATCACGAACAACGATTGGTTTCAACATGAGAACGATACTGTATACCTGGACTATATTAAAGGACGCCATGATAGAAAAACGTTTTTCGACGAAAAAAGACAGGAAGTCATTCCTGGAGTTCCAAAAGGTGAAGGGCAGCGAACCTTCAAGCACAGGTATCACACTCCTGCAAGGATTCATTCTCATCAGTTTTAGCCATTGTTGGGAGATCACTAACTTCCCATTAGCCAGCCAAAGAGCAAGATTGACTGAGGTGCAAGTTCAAGACCACACAGTCAGTTCATTTTATCATCGATTTTTTATTGATAGTGTTGCAGAACAACATTTTTCTGAGTACGGACTTTGTTGAAAAATTCAGCGTGTATATCAGATTAATCCCAGACCTCTTTCATGTTGATGATGGAAGCAGATGTGAAGAAATAATTCAATTTGAGGTTTGTTATAATCAATGTATTCCTTTGGAATCACACATTACAGATAAGCGCAAGGAAATACGAGAGTCCTGCAAAGCTTCACTTAGAGCTTGTAGTTCTGAACAGTGACTACGAAGCGATCAGATTGAGGAAGCGGATTAGTTTCGAGAAAGAGAAAATAGCTGGAACAGCTTTATCGGTAGAGTGTTTTTAACCATGTTATATGTATAGAATTATTTACAGAAAGTGAAAGACGTGAGATGGGTGTACCGAAAAGAGCTAATGGAGCATCTAAAGGGACGAACCCATGTTAGCATTGTAGGTAATATCACCCAAACTGTTACTTATCACAGTGAGAAAGTGTTCATGTCTAAGCCTCAAGATTACAAATACGTAAGGAACTGCTATTTTACTCATGCGGATTGTTTCCGTTTCAGAGATTAGAAGTTGAGATGGCCAATCACATGACTGATCTTTTCAATTCCGGAAAGCATTCTGATTTTACTCTCATAGTACCTCAAGGTAGATTCCGGGTTCACCAGGTGGCAACTTACTTCTCTTTCCAAGTTGAAACATACTTTTTATAGTTTGTCCTCATGTTGCATTCCAAGTACTTCAAAGCACTGTTTAGAAGTAAAATGAGAGAAACAGAAAAAAGAATAACGTATCTCCACACAGATTACGACGTACTTATTATCAGTTTTTTATTAATAGAGAATACTTTGTTCAGAGCTTGCACGAAATCGTTACATTCATATATTCAATGGCTTCTCCGAATTTAATGTGGAAGATGTGTGATGTCTACATTACATCAAAATACTTTCGAGTTGATGCTCTTACAGCCTTGACGGAGGAGGTTTTTCTGGAATGATTTTTTTTTTTTCAAACAATTAATTTCAGGAAATTCCTCGAGCCATGAATGTTCTGAATGTTCTTTCGTATTTTGTAATGTGTAATCAAATTGGGTTTGAAAAATTCCTGCCATTATGCAAGGACATAATAAGTAAAAGAAAGAAGAAAATCATAAAGGTAACAAGAATCCAATTCATAAACAACTTGAAAACTTTTTTTCTTCCAGACAACTCAATACAAAGTGATGATTGAGCGGTATGTCGACGTCATCGCAAACTTCTATGACATCCCTGATTTGGATGGCATAAAAGTGTTTTGTTGGGAAAAGGGTGGATGGACTCCTTCTAGTTCTTGCACATGTTCTTACAACCCCGATGCTCAATCTTTCTAAATGATTATAAATCAACAAGATTTCATCTCTCAGTCATCTCTTCTGCATTTTTGTACATTCTTGGAGAACATCTGAAAGCAGATATATTTCAATCAACCAATTGTTCATTCAACATCTGAGACTTAAAAAATCATAATTTGGTAAAAGCCTGTTATCCGGTGAAAAAATATCATTCTTTTAACCCAAAATATTCTACAGATGATATAGTGGTGAATCAGATTTCAGAAATTAGTTACTATGTAAATTCGTGAATCATTTGAAACATTTCCTTCTCTTTTTCGAATTATATTGTTATAAAGAATGCAATCGAATGGAAATGTTTAAAGTTGAATAATAAATTGAAAAAACATTTGAAAACTACAACAAGCTATTTTAATTTCCAACATACAACTACTTTATCATAATACAGGAGAAGAAAGTATTTAGTCATACACAACATCCTTCTGTAAATCAGTTTCATTTCTCTTCTTCAACTGTTTCAGTTTTCTCCGTTTTTTTCATATAAAATTATAGAGTTATAAAATACTTTACTCGATTAGTAATGTTCATCAGAAAAATAATTCGAAGCTCAATCATTCTTTTCAAAATTCTTTTACTCATTTCAGATGCTGCTCATATCACAGGTTATGTCAGTTCCAATCGAAGTGATTGCTCCTATCAATAGGATATTAATTCATTTACTGAGCCGAATTGATGAACGAGAATATCCTGAACCAATAAAAAACCAACGTGGCGACATGCTTCTACTGGTTCGACAACTCAGCGACAGTTTTGAAATCTATTTTTCAGTTTATGAATGACCTATCAAGTTGTCTGTTAGAGCGCCAACATAACATGAAATTTGGAAATGACTGTGAAAACTTCGTGATCCTATTATGCAATCGCGCTTACCGGCATTTCTTACTTGCTTACGAGTATAACTTGGAATTCAGATTTATTTATCCAAGAAGATTCAATCTCGAAGATCAGATAAACACCTTACATCTAGCTTCTATTCTAGATGGTCTTCTTGATAATTGGTTAGACTCACCTCAAGGAATGGTGAGCCATATGAACGAATTGGGTAAATTCTTTTTCTTCCAATATATGACTTCCTGAGTTGATTTGAAAGTTTCCGTTTTTTTTTTGATTGCCACTGTATGTAGTTGTCTGTCTTCAAGATAACAGTGAAAGTTATATAAATTCTCTTGTTTTCTTCACAATCCGTAATGAGCATCTGAGTATATAAAAGTTATTATTGTTCTTACATTACATTGTTCCTTATGTTGTGAGGGTTTTTCGTCAAACGAAGAATCATCACAAAGAAAACTAAGAATGACCTTTGTTGGGCCCAGAAGCAAGCTTTCTAGAAATGCCTCATTTTAGATACTCTTGAAGTTCTATAGGTGGATCCAGTCCGAAACAGTCAAAAAATCTTATGTTCTGCAGTGGAATAACAAAGCCAATAAGTTCCTTTATTGTTTGAAGAGTCTAAATTTGAAATTCCTACTCCTTCTCCTCTTATAGTATTTGGAAAAGTGTCTCTCATGAAAACACCACGGACCCTGTCTCCTTGATTTTCAACTCCTTCACGAGCTTTTCGAGGCGAAGATTGGTTGATGGTTTTAACTCTTTTCGGAGACTAAGAGTAATCATTAAATGATAAACAAAACTTCAAAACGTAAGGAATCCGTTAACAACTTTTTCATTCTATACTTTCTGGCTTTGTACGATTGTGGAAACTAAAATATTAAGTAAAACAAAAATGGCGAAAAACAGGGGCACCCAAAGAGATTAAACCGCTGATATGCTATATATTTCGCCTCTTGACGTAAGCGCTCACCAATTGAAAAAAAAAATGAGCTGCAACGACCGGAATTGAACTGGTGTCCCATGTTATTATATGACTGTGCTTCTACCGACTGCGCTAAAGATGCCGCCGGCATTTTCACATATACACGGAATGAAAAGTACCCGATTACATACCCTACACGGTTTCACCAATAGCACCCAAGTCGTGTACATGTTTGATTTTCTCAAGTCGTGTACTCACGTTGAAGCGATTCTTGTAAATATGGTTTCTCGAGT